GCGCACCATGCTGTGTGTGTGAGCGAAAGCTGGTCGGAGCAGCGCGCCTGTCGCTTGGAGAGGATGGTGCTGCAAGGTTGGATGGTTCTTGGTCTCTACAGACATTCGTCTCCTAGTCTCAAACTGGTCCCTGGGAAAGCACCATGTCCGTGCTGCGGACAGCTCTCTTGTGCCTGGAGCGTGGGGTTGTCCACCATGTTCCTTGTCCTGGAGCTTCAGATGATCTTAGCTTTGGAGATAAAGGCCAAGACCTTGCCCGTGACTTGCTGGTCCCTGGAGGGCTGGCCTAGGGGGCGTAGAGCAGGTGTGACGTGCTGCGATGTTCTGTACTGGTTGGGCTCCATGGGGGCGATGGCTTCGTGCCCAGATGTAACGCGTTGCTGGAAGCTGACTGGAGTTCTCTGAGTCACCGTTGGCTCAGGGTGAATGCAGCCACTTCCCTGCAGGCCTCAGGGGCTGCAGATGGCCCATCCCCTGCCACTTGTGCCTCCCCGCAGCCTAGTTCACCATTGCCGCCTTGTGCCATTGCGTCTGCCAGCAGGCAGCGGGTGTGACATGCTGCCGAGTCAGGACGGTGGTGTTTCACGCTTGCTTTGCCCTAGCATGAACCACAGTGTGCTGCATAGTGACACTGAGCAAGGCCAGTGGCCATGCCCCATGTTCTCCCGTCCCCATTATTGCCAAGGGACACGTGCTTTGTTATCTCCTGTTTGTCCAGACGACTCCCTCCTTGGCATTGGGAGGCCGCTTCGAACAGGGTGGTTCAGGACGGTCACCCAGCCGTGTACAGCCCAGGATTAATTGGTCATCTTCTACCTTGATTAATGGGCCTCCTTGGTCCTCTCTCCCAGTATCTTCACACGAGCTCTTCCTATTCCACTAGGGCTGCGTTAACTGCCTCGGCTTTACTGCTGCCCTGCTCCTTCCCCTGCAGCCATGACTAGCTCAGGATGCTGCCCCCCTGCTCCTCCATTGGAGGTGTGAGTCCAGTCACGTCCCCATGGAGACGTGTTGGCTGCTGCTTCTTCCTTGGATTTCCCCTTTGCAGCCTGCTGTGACTTCATGACGGTGCGTGAGATAGAAACATAGGCTCTATGTTTGTACAGCACCTAGCACATGCCTGGACTCCTAGGTGCTAACACAGTACAGAAAATAATAATAATAATAATTTGGGCATTAAGTCTCATAGCACATGTACTACAGACCCTGGCTCCTGGAGTCATGGGAGTACACCGGCTCTCAGCCTTCATTTCACTAGCTTTTATACTTGCAAAGGAAGGCTGGAAAATGTGATTCGAGTGTCACCGATGTGGCAACATCTGCCTGAGTTTGCAGAGAGCCTGAGACAATTGCTCTGAACTGTGTAGTGCATTTCAAGAGGGTGTTAACTCCAAGACCGCTGCTCTGGGGGGTGCTGGCAACCCCAACCCAGTAGAGGACTGTGTGAGTGGCAATAGGGGGAGAGTGCGGTGGGCATAGCCCCCACTCCAGCAGGGACAAGCAGCTGGTGGGTACATGCTGCCTCCCACACCCCCTGCTGCCTCCCACACCCCCTGCTGCCATTCCTGCTGCTTTCCCTGGGGTTCTCGTGTTGCTGCCCTGGCGTCTTGGGGTGGGAAGCCCCTGCCACTCCTAGTGGAGGGTGGGACAACGGGGTGGGGTCTTGGGGGAGTGACTCTGGCCCAAGGGGTTCCAAGGCCCCCTATTGCCATTTGCCAGACCTGGTCCCAGCCTTGCCCACCCTGCTCCCTTTCCAGCAAGCTAGGCACACTTACAACTTTTGCCATCTCAGGGGGAAAAGGAGAGTGTTTGCTCCCTCTTGAGGCTGCTGGGAGGTGCTGCGCCCTTGCAAGGGAAGAGCTGCTGAACCGTTCTGTTACTGCTTAGCAGGATGGGCGCTCAGGATGGGACGGCCCAGACCGTGGGTTCGGTCAGTGCCTTTCTCTTGCTGCTCCTCCCAGGGTTTTAAAGCTATTTCACCAGTCCAGCGGTTGCTGGAGAGTCTTTCCAGCTGAGCGGGGCGCGAGCCGTGCCAGCCAGAGCCGCCGGAGGGGCTCAACGTCTCTGAAAACCTGGCTCTGCGGGCGTCCCAGGGTGGGCTCTGGAAAAGGGAGCCCCACAGAGAGTGTGGGGTTGGCGAGGGAGTAGGGGAGGTCATGGGTCTCTGTCAGTCACCTCCTCTCCCCCTTCCCCTGCTCCGAGAGGCCTAGAGAAGTGTTTTGGAGCAGAGGGAGTCGGTGCAGGGGTCGCTGGGGGACAGGCTCGTACAGAAAGTCGGACGAGATGGCCTGGAACTCTGTGACCCTGACAGGAGACACCCCGGCTCTGCAGATAGGGTGGGGGAGGCCTCTAGACCAGGGGGCCGGGCAGGGCAGGGCAGCCTCTGACCTGCGCTGGTCACCGCGAGAGCTCGCTAACGGGACACAGCACTGCCGGGCTCAGGGCTCCTGGGTTAGCAGCACTGCCTGGCTCAGGGCTCCTGAATGGGCCCGGTAAGGGGAGTCGTCCTGGGCCTGTATTAACAGCACCGCTACTGCTCGGTGCTTACAAAAACACCGTCCTCACCTGTGCCAGGTGGAGCTCACCCCCCCCCCCCCACCCCGGTGACGGGACTGTTCCCAGGACTCCAGGGATGGGAGCAGGTGACTCGAAACCAGGCCTGCTGGGAGTTGAAGGCCAGGGGGGTCCAGTTCTCTGGGGCTCCCAAGCAGTGAGGTCTCTGCAAGGGGCCTGGGGAAGGCTCGGCAGCAGGGTCTGACAGGGATCTGGAGCCCAGCTGGGAGGGCTGAAAAGGACTGTAGGGCGGGCGGGTGAGGAAGCCCTGATAAAGTGCTAGGAAGCCTCTCTGAGCCTAGTGGCAGCTGCTGACGTGGCTCGCTGGGGATATGAGGGCTGGATGGTTCTGTGGAGTGTTTGATGGGGGTAAACAACACCCACAAGGGGAGAAGTGTGGCAGAAACACCAGCTGCCGTGGTTTGTTTGAGGCAAAATGGAAGGAAACTGAGGCAGGGCCTGGCGCCAGACCTGGGAAGCCTTGCTACAAGTATCTTTCAGCAAAGGGGTTTTAAGAGCCTTCAGCCTCACAACCCCGCCACTGACTGGGTAACACCGTGTCCCTGTTTGGTGAAGGGGCTTGTCCGAGTGCCCCAGGTTAGATTCAGGACATAGCCAGGAACAGAGCCTGGAGGTCAAGGACTAAAGGCTAGAAACTGAAGCAATCCCCGGCTCTGGGAGGGAGTGGGGTCTGGTGGATTAGAGCAGGAGGGGCTGGGAGCCAGGACTCCTGGGTTCACTCCCCGGCTCTGGGAGGGAGTGGGGTCTAGTGGGTTAGTTTGGGGGGGCTGGGAGGCAGGAGTTCTGGGTTCTGGCTCTGTGTCAGGAAGGGGAATGGGGTCTAGTGGGTTAGAGCGGGGGTGGAGGCTGGGACCAAGTGTGTTAGGCGCTGTACAATCCTAGAATAATAGACAGCCCTTGTCCAAAGGAGCGTGCAGCCTAAGCAGACAAGATGGACAAAGGGCAGGGAAAGGGATAGAACATGCAAGGAGAAATACAAACTTACGTTCAACCTGAAGTGACAGGAATCCCCGATTCTCTGTCACATCCAGGAGTTCAGACTAGATGATCAGAATGGGCCCTTCTGGCCTTTAGTTGGATGAATCTAAGTGCCCGGTTCTGTGCTCTGACCACTAGACCCCCCCCCCCGGGCTGAGTAGCTGCTGCTGAGCCAGTTGATCCCGTATAACACTTCCTGGTCTCAGGCACGAGCTTGTCTAGTAGGATGCGGGGACCTGCCTCGTGTCCCACAGACAGTAGCAGAACCCCTCTGTCCAGCTGGTCTTTGCGCTCCCCCCGAGGTGTCTCAGGCTGTCTGTACAGTGTGAGTGATAAACACCAGCTGGGGCTCTATCTTTCTCACCTTTTCGGGGCCCGCCTTTCAAGGGTGGCAAATGTTCCGCGGGCCCCCAAACTGGGGTGCAGCCGAGCCGCTCCCTCAGTGCTGGCACATCTCGGAGGGCACCGTTTTTCATTGTCACAGCACCACTGGGTGAACGAGCTCCTCCCTGGGAGCGGTTTCCCAGCTCCCCCTCAAGTATCCTGTGCAGGGCTAGCTCCTGCCGACCCCCCAGACACGGGGATGCCTGCGGACCGAAGATGATTTCAAGCTCCACCAAACATGGCCAAAGTACCCCAAAAAACCAACCCCCAGCTCAGCCCAGTGTTTGAGTTGAAAGGGGGAAAGACCACACACGGCACAGAAGCGTGTGGTGGGGGCGGCCATCCTTCTATTTAAAGGGGCCTCCAAGTCGGAGCTGCAAATCTTACCTTTTGGCACCTCCACAGAGGCGGCATTGGGGACGTAAGGGCCAAATGGAAGGGTTTGGGCTGGCAGGTGCGATTAGCTGTGAGTGCAAAGCGGTGCCCCACAAAAGAGGAGGCTGTGATGGGCGTGAGGGTGGGTGAAGAACCCCCCATTTAGCACAGGCAAGTAAACGATGTCCTTGCAGTGGACGCTGAGCTGGCTTCGGGCAGGAGCCTCTTGTACTCTGCTTGCTCCCTGGGAGAGATTAGCTACTCGCCTCCAGAAAGCCAGAGGACACCGGCCATCCCTGGGGAGCATAGAGGTCTGTCATTCACACCACACCAGGATTGTTGCTGGTGTCAGGGAACTTTAGGGAAGTTCCTTCTTTCCCCATCCCAAGCCCATTGTATCCTCCCGGAAATGCACAGCTACCCACAGCTTATGCATTAGGTAATGCCTCATGCCTAATGCCAACTCCCTGAGCTGTGAAGGCTGTTCCTATTGCTTTGGGAGCCTCTGCCGTACCCCTTCTCCTTAGACCCAACTCAGAGCGAGACCCTAGGCAGGCAGAGAAGCCAGGCAGGTGTGTGACCTAAACCTGCCTTGTGTCAGTGCAAGGTAATTCCCACCTTGCCTGGACTCAGTCCCTTTAAAATCCAAGCACCCGCTCACTGGGGGGGGGTTGTGCTTCCTCCCGTAGATATGAAACGACCGCTGAGCCTGCCCCACTCCGCTGAGAACAGGACCCACCTGGCCGAGACGGCGGGGAGCCAGTCGGAGCAGCGCACGAAGCGGGAGAAGAAGCACCAGTCGTTCACTCTGTGCGAGGTCTGCAACATCCAGCTCAATTCGCCTGCCCAGGCACAGATACACTACAATGGAAAATCCCACCAGAAACGCCTCAAGCAGCTCAACAAAGGGAAGGTGCCAACGGGCCAAGGTGAGGGGTCGGCCGGCAGGGCTACCGGCAGGGCAGCTGGAGCCCGGGGGCGCTGGGAAGGGCTTGCCTCTGTCGCCCGGCCCCTGTCCTTATGGGCGTAAGTTGGAGTGACGAACGGCCCGGTTGCGTGGCTGGGGTTGCTGCCCTGGACTCCGACTGCTGTTGCATATAAAAACCTACCGTCTCGGCCATCGCCATCCTGCCCCAACAAATCCAGCCAATCAGGGGGTGGGAGTTAGGGGGATACCCCAAGCCCCCAGATAAAGGAGCGTCTCCGCCTCCTATTGGACGCCGGTCACTCGCTAGGATCTCTGAACCCAGATGTCTCGGTGACCGTGCGGCCTGAGTTTGCTGCTCTTCGGTGTCCGCATGTTGTTCCCGTGCGTACACGAACGCGGTCGCCAGCGCCCTGGGTCGCCAGCGCCCACTCTGGTTTGGTTTGGGTGTCTTTTGCGCAGCTGCTGGAACTAGAGGTGCTGTGGGGGCTGCCGCGCCCCCTGGCTGGACGTGGTTTCCATCATATCCAGGGTTGACCGTTTGGTTCACTGGCTCTCAGCCCCCCCACTGAACACATTGGCCCAGCACCTCTGGCCTTTTGTGCACAGGAATGGCCATGCCGGCCGCCCTGGGGGATAGTGTAGCTGTTACGTGGCCAGGTTGCCCTGTTTGGATTCGGACAGTCTCCTCCCCTGGCGACAGGGCTACCTTTTTAGTGGCGTCATTTTATGATCTAGTTTCCCAGCACACCCATCTTTTGTAACTACCTCATGCTGGTTACCTTCAGCTGGCGAAACTCATTCCGTGTTGGTGCTAAGGGTGAAGGGTCAGTTTTCACAAGCACCGACATCACTGTCACAGGCAGGTTGGCCCTTGAAGGGGAAATGGGCCCCACTCCCCCGTGACACGACCTATTTGCTGCACCAGGTGGGGAGAAATGAATTGTCAAGCGAGAGCTGGTCCTGTGACAAACCTGGGTGCTGCATAGCCATCCATGGCCAGGAGGGGACACTCGAGAGGTGCCTGACCCTGCTTAAATGTCCCTTTTCAAAAGCGAAAAGTCAGTGGAAGTCATTGGAAATCAATAGGACCTAGGTGCTTCTGAAAAGTTTCACCCGCAATCCTTCTGCCCAGGGGTTTTGGAAGTGGTGACCTTAATAAAGCACCGTGAGGTACTGTGCAGTATTCACACAATGCTAAACGTAGATCCCTTAAATCCACCACAGCTGTCTTTTATGTTAAATTCTTTGCCATTTGTACTTTTCTGCTGCTCCATTTGGCTGTGCGTCGTCAGGGCTCAGCATGGTGTTTGCACTGACGGGTCAGTGGACTGCTGACGGGTCACTGGTGAAATGTGTGCCGTTGTCTGTTGTTAGCTCATTTGGAGTCTCATGGTGAGCAAATAGTGATTTGTGACCTGCTGTGACATTGTCACTTGATATGTTTATACCATAAACTGCTCAGTTAAAAGCCAAGAGGTAATCTTTCCATTTAATTCAAACAGCTCTGCACCTGTGTTAGACCCAGGGCTATCAGGGAGTTCATATTTTCCATTTTTGCTTCCTGTATTTATTGCCAAATTCACAGCTGCATAACTTATCTTAGCTGGCAGCCATCATGCTTGTCCTGAATAGAACTTGGTGGGCATTGCTCTTTCACTTCTCCATGTCCAGATAGCCACTGGGTTGTGCTTAGTACATCCGATTTGGTGCCATATGGTACTGTGATGTAAAGTCCTTCGCAGAGAATTCCTATCGTGTGCAGCAGCTCCTCGTACAGTCCCAGTCAGACGGTGCATGGAGGTGTCCTGGTTTTCCACCTAGAATTCTTCTATCAAACTCTTGTACGGTTGGGTCACTTCGTGTTTCTCATTTTGTTTTGCGAATGGGGAGCACTCAGTTCTCTTCAAAGGCCTTTTCCTGCTGCTCCTCGCTTTCGCTAGACGTGGGTTGCCCATAAAATGCATCCATTGACGCGAAGCTCTTCACCAGAGCCATTGTTTCACATTTACCCAGTGTGTTTGCAACTTCCTGCCCATTTTTCCGCAGTTTCTCTGTAAGGCTTCCCACTCTGTAAGGCCTGTTTCTGCCTCCGCTGATTTCAATGAAACCGCTTACAGCCAAAACCAACCAGTTGCATTTCATAGAATCCTAGAATATCAGGGTTGGAAGGGACCTCAGGAGGTCATCTAGACCAACCCCCTGCACAAAGCAGGACCAATCCCCAATTAAATCATCCCAGCCAGGGCTTTGTCAAGCCTGACCTTAAAAACTTCTAAGGAAGGAGATTCTACCACCTCCCTAGGTAACGCATTCCAGTGTTTCACCACCCTCCTAGTGAAAAAGTTTTTCCTAATATCCAACCTAAACCTCCCCCACTGCAACTTGAGACCATTACTCCTTGTCCTGTCCTCTTCTACCACTGAGAATAGTCTAGAACCATCCTCTCTGGAACCACTTCTCAGGTAGTTGAAAGCAGCTATCCAATCCCCCCTCATTCTTCTCTTCTGCAGACTAAACAATCCCAGTTCCCTCAGCCTCTCCTCATAAGTCATGTGTTCCAGACCCCTAATCATTTTTGTTACCCTTCGCTGGACTCGCTCCAATTTATCCACATCCTTCTTGTAGTGTGGGGCCCAAAACTGGACACAGTACTCCAGATGAGGCCTCACCAATGTTGAATAGAGGGGGACGATCACGTCCCTCGATCTGCTCGCTATGCCCCTACTTATACATCCCAAAATGCCATTGGCCTTCTTGGCAACAAGGGCACACTGCTGACTCATATCCAGCTTCTCGTCCACTGTCACCCCTAGGTCCTTTTCCGCAGAACTGCTGCCTAGCCATTCGGTCCCTAGTCTGTAGCTGTGCATTGGGTTCTTCCGTCCTACGTGCAGGACCCTGCACTTATCCTTACTGAACCTCATCAGATTTCTTTTGGCCCAATCCTCCAATTTGTCTAGGTCCCTCTGTATCCTATCCCTGCCCTCCAGCGTATCTACCACTCCTCCTAGTTTAGTATCATCCGCAAATTTGCTGAGAGTGCAAACCACACCATCCTCCAGATCATTTATGAAGATATTGAACAAAACCGGCCCCAGGACCGACCCACCCCTGGGGCACTCCACTTGACACCGGCTGCCAACTAGACATGGAGCCATTGATCACTACCCGTTGAGCCCGACAATCTAGCCAACTTTCTACCCACCTTATAGTGCATTCATCCAGCCCATGCTTCTTTAACTTGCTGACAAGAATACTGTGGGAGACCGTGTCAAAAGCTTTGCTAAAGTCAAGAAACAATACATCCACTGCTTTCCCTTCATCCACAGAACCAGTAATCTCATCATAGAAGGCGATTAGATTAGTCAGGCATGACCTTCCCTTGGTGAATCCATGCTGACTGTTCCTGATCACTTTCCTCTCATGTAAGTGCTTCAGGATTGATTCTTTGAGGACCTGCTCCATGATTTTTCCGGGGACTGAGGTGAGGCTGACTGGCCTGTAGTTCCCAGGATCCTCCTTCTTCCCTTTTTTAAAGATTGGCACTACATTAGCCTTTTTCCAGTCATCCGGGACTTCCCCCATTCGCCGCGAGTTTTCAAAGATAATGGCCAATGGCTCTGCAATCACAGCTGCCAATTCCTTTAGCACTCTTGGATGCAACTCGTCCGGCCCCATGGACTTGTGCACATCCAGCTTTTCTAAATAGTCCCTAACCACCTCTTTCTCCACAGAGGGCTGGCCATCTATTCCCCATGTTGTGATGCCCAGCGCAGCAGTCTGGGAGCTGACCTTGTTCGTTAAGACAGAGGCAAAAAAAGCATTGAGTACATTAGCTTTTTCCACATCCTCTGTCACTAGGTTGCCTCCCTCATTCAGTAAGGGGCCCACACTTTCCTTGGCTTTCTTCTTGTTGCCAACATACCTGAAGAAACCCTTCTTGTTACTCTTGACATCTCTTGCTAGCTGCAGCTCCAGGTGCGATTTGTCCCTCCTGATTTCATTCCTACATGCCCGAGCAATATTTTTATACTCTTCCCTGGTCATATGTCCAACCTTCCACTTCTTGTAAGCTTCTTTTTTATGTTTAAGATCCGCTAGGATTTCACTGTTAAGCCAAGCTGGTCGCCTGCCATATTTACTATTCTTTCGACACATCAGGATGGTTTGTCCCTGTAACCTCAACAGGGATTCCTTGAAATACAGCCAGCTCTCCTGGACTCCTTTCCCCTTCATGTTAGTCCCCCAGGGGATCTTACCCATCTGTTCCCTGAGGGAGTCGAAGTCTGCTTTCCTGAAGTCCAGGGTCCGTATCCTGCTGCTGTCCTTTCTGCCTTGTGTCAGGATCCTGAACTCAACCAACTCATGGTCACTGCCTCCCAGATTCCCATCCACTTTTGCTTCCCCCACTAATTCTTCCCGGTTTGTGAGTAGCAGGTCAAGAAAAGCTCCCCCCCTAGTTGGCTCCTCTAGCACTTGCACCAGGAAATTGTCCCCTACACTTTCCAAAAACTTCCTGGATTGTCTATGCACCGCTTTCTGTTGAGGAAGAAGGGGGATGTTTAGCTTGTCGCTCCGGCGTATGGGTTGAAAGTTCTGTGCGTCCTGTTGTTTGTTTGTACGAGCCGCAGTTCAGATCAGGGCCCCATTGTGCTCGGAGCTTATGGACACATAGTCCTGACTTAGCTCTTTTATTCTAGAGCTTTTCATCTTTTTACATCTCAAAGTGCTTTCCAACGGAGGGTCAGGATCATTACCCTCATTTTACAGATGGGGAGACTGAGGCACGGAGACTTTGATTTGCCCTAGGTCACTGAGCAGGCCTGTAGCAGAGCCAAGAATTGAACCCAGGTCTCATGAGTTCCAGTCCACTGCATTATCCATGCAGCCATGTTACCTCTCAAATATGCCGAGTGTTTCGTGGGCAGTGTTTTCAAGCTGCCTGTTGAAATGGAACCTCTTTAGAAAGTTTGTTGTTTTTAAGCAGCTTCTCTTTTTGGA